TATTTTTAGACGATTAATCATTAAACGAAAACTAGTCGACGAACAGTTGAATTACATATCGAATATTAATTGAAATTATCCTTTTTGTGTGTTTAGAAATATTCTCACTTCAGTTCTATTCTATCTGAAGTTTACGTTTACTGATAGATTTTTACGCTTGGCCCTGAGCGTAGTAGTAACCGCCAAATGGGAACGCACGCCCAGCTACGGCCACGTTTTGCTGTTGCTGCTGCTGCTGCCGACGGATGCGCAGTTGCTGTTGGTAAGGTGGCTGCAAATCACGATGCAACGCCATCGAAGCCAAGTGCTGCTGCTTAAGATCACTGATCATAGCAATTTTGCGATGCTTAGGCTGGCCACTGACGGCTGGCGCTGCTGTGGAGGCAGCGGCACCCCCCCTACCAGCCGCAGCGCTACTCAATTGATAAGCCTCCAAATCTTCATCGCGTGGCAGAGGCTTGTGCTGATCTTCCTCGACTGGAGTGCCATCAGGGCGAACGCGGAAGACAAGCGGACCGCTGAGAAAAGTCTCGGCGTGAGGCTTCTGATTGACTGTTGTTTGAGTGACGGGATAACCGTAGGCGAAGTCCATGTCCCAGGCAAATTTGTGCTTGTGATCAGCATCGCTGTCGAAGAGTGGATTTTGGCTGTTGGTTGTAGTGGAGGAGGCGGCGGCTGCAGCGTTGGCAAATGAGGGGGCTGCTGTATTGGCCGTCTTCTGATGTGTTAGGATTATGATGGAGGAATCTGGTGGTGTTGGCAAGGGTTTGCGGGTGGTAACGAGTGTTGAACTCGGGTGTTCGCGCATGATGGAAGACCAAACTGCAAATAGAAAAAATAAATAAATAAATAAATAAATAAAGGTTGTATTACTACACAAGGATATATCTTAAATGATAGCTAATAGTTAATAATAAATAAATAAATAATTAATTAACTATGATTTACAGCTTTGACTGCGGCTAAAAATAGCTGAATGGGTAGAGTTGTAGATGCGTGATGATGCATAATTTATGTAGATATGTATGAGGATATACATACTTATAGCATTGAGTAACAATTAACGACTGGCTGAATTACACTGTGCAACGTTAAATATGAGCTTTTGAAGGAAAATAGTACAGTGAAATTAGCAAAAAAGTGGTAATTTTTGGTAAGGTCCATAAACCGTTTTGATTTTTATTGAGTAGGTTAAAGAGATGTTAATAAAAGATTTGCGGGTCTCAGGGGGGTTGTGGAATCGCCGGCATCTTGAAAAGAAGGGTTTAAACGTTTTTCGCTATTTAAATTTTTTTTCGAAAAAACTCCAGAAAACTGTGTTATTGGCCGAAAAAATCTATGTAAATTTTTTGTTTAAGCTTTTTTTTTTCTAGCGTCATTATTTTGCATGTTAATAAGAAATTATTTACAAATCTTTTTTCACTTATTGACAGTGGATTGTCCTAAAACCCTTAATTTAATGAAAACAATGCCCTTCTAATCTCAATTCTAAAAAATAAATCATATAAGATTCGAACAGTGTTAAGCATTGCGGTCCGAAAATCGTATCACCCTCGGCCAAACACGTAACATATTCAGCCTTATCATGAGTTTTATTTTCCCCAAACCGGTTCACTTTTCACTCTTGGTTTCCATAGTTTTACTATGGGCGGATGACAAATTTTCGGGTGAATCTTTTTTTCAGGCGAAACTCAGGATAAGGCAGATTGTGTAAGCGCCAATCTATTATTATTCTGCCTTGTTCCGAGTTTCGCTCGAAAAAAAAAATCACCCGAAAATTTTCNTTGGTTTCCATAGTTTTACTATGGGCGGATCACAAATTTTCGGGTGATTTTTTTTTTCAGGCGATACTCAGGCAGATTGTCTAAGCGCCAATCTATTATTATTCTGCCTTGTTCCGAGTTTCGCTCGAAAAAAAAATTCGCCCGAAAATTTTTCATCCGCCCATACCTAAATACATGGACACCAAAAGTGAAAAGTGAACCGGTTCGGGGAAATTAAACTCATGATAAGGCTGATTATTACTTATTAAACAAAAAATTTAGATTTTTTGGGGCCAACAAACAAGTATTCCTGAGTTTTTCGTAAAAATTAACGGTATCGATGTAAATTTCCAAAAACGCTTACACCCTTCTTTCCAAGATGGCATCTACTC